AGGTGTCCCGATCTAGTGGGAAGAAAGAGAGAGAATAAGTTAGGTCCAAAATCATTTCTCAGTATTCTGTACATCAAGATTAGATCTCCCCTTAGTCTGCGATAGGACAGAGTAAAGAGGTTCAGTTTTTCAAGCCGCTCTTTATATGATAAACCCCGGAGTTCCGGAATTGCACGCGTAGCTGCCCTCTGTACCTTTTCTAGTATGTATGGGTCACCTTTTAAACAGGGGCTTGCAGCCTAAACGCAGTTCTCTAACTTAGTTCTCACTAAGGATGTGTATAATGTGGTGAACATGGTAGTACCAAACTTAGTGAATGTCCTTTTTAAAGTCCAGAGGGTTCCAAACCCCTTGGCTGCGACCTCCTGGCAATGGGCCGTCGTCTTAAGATCATTACTCACTGTCACCCCTAGATCCTTATGAGACCGGACTACGGGTAATGACACATCCCCTATGCTGTACTTATTAACCTTTGAATCCCCCAAGTGCATGTAGACACACTTTGTTAGACATCAACCACTCTTTAGACCAGTTTATCATATTATCTAAGTCCGCCTGAAGAGTAAATGCGTCTTTGTCTCCAGTTATTACTCGCCAAATTTTTACATCGTCAGCGTATAATAACATTGGAGACTGTACTATACTTGTAAGATCATTAACGTACATTCTAAAACGTATAGGACCTAGGACGGAACCTTGAGGTACTCCGCTAAGTACTGGTCTCCAGATGGAGCACTTTGAATTTATTCTCACTTTTTGTCTACGATTTACTAGGAAATCCTTAATCTATTTTAAAAGAGGTCCGGCAATACCAAGGTTTTCCAACTTCAATAGCAGTCTATTAGTAGGTACCTTGTCAAAAGCCTTACTGAAATCTATGTAGACAACATCCACTGAGTTTCCGTTGTCTAGCGCATTAATCCAGAGCTCCTTAGTTATAAGGAGGTTCGTTGTACAAGATAGACCCCACTTAAAACCATGTTGTTCTATATTTAGCAAGTTGTTGGTTTCCATAAATGCCATTATGGTCCGTTTGACTATTCTTTTCAATATTTTAACTACAACACTGGTGAGGCTTACAGGTCTGTAGTTCGATAGAAGTTGTTTTGGTCTTGTTTTGTGTATGGGAGTGACGACCGCGTCCTTCCAGTCCATAGGTAGCACTCCCTGATCAAGTGACATGTTGAATATCACAGTCAGTGAGGATGCGATATATTGTGCCATATGTCTCAAGATTTTAGGGTGTAGTTCATCTGGTCCTGTTGACTTTTCCACGTTTAAATTACTAAGACCTTTAAGCACATCGTTTTGGCCGAAGTCCACGGTGAGCAGGTGGTTTGTTGACTGTTTATTTTGATTTGGTTCTTTCTCTAGAGGAGGTTCCTGAGTGAAAACTGCCGTAAAATAGTCAGCCATAGCCCCTGCTTTTTCCTGATCTACCTCTATCATTTCAGATTCACTTCCTACTTTAATTCGGTTGGGAATCCAATTATGCATCCTTGTTCTGTAGTTTATGTTCTAGAATATTCTCTTGGGCTACTTGAGTGCAGATTATGCCATCTGCATTTCATATTTTCTTTGAGCTTCCCAAATTTTTGCAATACACTCGTTTCTTATCGATCTGTAGCGTTCCATCGTACCTGCTGTGCCAGGGATGATGGCAACATCCCAGCATTTCTGCTTTTGTCTTATTAAACGTCGCATATCCCAACCTATCCAGGGATGTCTGTGTTTCTTTTTCTTTGGGACAGTCCAGGGTATGTATGGTTGAGTTACCCGATTGTATAACTGCCTGAATAGAATCCATGCCTCTTGTACTGATGCCTTTGAGTCAATTTCCCAGTTCTCAGCCGATACTGCGGAGTTAACTGCCTGCATATCTGCCCTCCACATGTTAGGAGGGGCCGGCGCAACTGTTTGACAAGCAATCTCAGCCATGAATTTGAATAAGATGACTGCATGGTCACTTCTCCCAAGTGGTGGGAGAAAAGCCATTTGACCAACGTCATCATCGAGTGTGAAGACTGAATCTAAAAGAAAAGAAGAGTTTCTTAATTCGTATATTGTGGAATCTCTAATGTGTTGGAATAATGCTAATCCATTTGAGGTTTCTAACAGTTTGCAGTCGGACGACGATATCCATTACCCTACTTCTAAGTTAACCCAGTTTATATATGGTGTATTAAAGTCGCCTACTACAGGGCTTATACCGTTGTTACACCAGGACTTAAGTTTACTTAGGAGAAAATCATCTGCTACACATTCTGGACTCCAATATACTACAACTACTTCAATATCTTGCCGTCGGCATTTCAACTTACATCTCACCAGTTCACATGTCCCTGAAACATGTACTACTGTCTCAGCTCATCTTATGGCTAGGGTGCTTCTCGTGTACATGATAACTCCCCCTCCCCTACGGCTTAATCTATCAGCCCTATCGGTTAAAAAACCAGTCAACTGGATTTCACTATCTAATACTTCTGACGTTAACCAAGTTTCCGAGACAGCGATAACGTCCGGTTTTTCTTTATCCACCACTGACTTGAGCTCCGCCATTTTATTTAGTAGGCTGCGAGCATTTGTGCAGCATACCTTTAAGTCTGTGGAGAGCTTTCCCTTGCCATCCAAAGTGGCATGGAGATCGTTTTGCTCCGAACTTTTATAGCCTGAAAACCCTTAAGAACGAGATTTCTTTCACCGTTTCGGCGACGCTAAGTTATTTCCACTTCTGCAGCTCGTCTCTTAATATGATTGGCTGGGCTGAGGTCCTCACGGACTGATATTCCGGATCCAATAAGTTTACGTGAGTTACCTAGAATCAGGTTCCTTTCTTCAACCGTGTGGAATGTAACCTTAGAGGCGGCTTTTCCGAGGAATTTCAGAATCCACCTTTTGTCTTATTCTGTTAAGCTTACAAACACTAACTGCTGAAACTGGATCTGAAAGTAGTTTACTTATTAAGGACTTAAAATGACTGAGATCGTGTTCAAATCTAGCCTTTGGTTCCTTATCGGAAGATTCTTTTAACTTATGAGAAATGACTGACCTCTAGGAGAGACCTCTCTTGACACGCAGTGGAGTTTTTGTTTCTGATACCGTCTCTTCTGATGACTTGCTAACCAGCTGTGTTTCGCTCACAGCTTTTTTCTTCTCCTTTCTTTTTCTCCGTACTCAAGTCCATTTATCATCACTCAGTACAGCCACCTCGAAACTATTTGGAACGGTGACAGTTTTATCCTAGTCTTCGATTTTCGCTACACGTGTATGATTACCAATGTCAATATCAATCGGCACTTCACTCCTCGTTAATGTTAACGGAGATTTCACTTTCCCGTTGATAACAGTCGGATGTTTAGCGGGTCCGATAGCAGCATGTACTACGCTGACACATTCTTCAGCGTCAGTGCACGTGTTATCAGCGCAACCGCCATCATTTTTCTAACAGGTCAAAGCCAATAGGCTCATAGCCTTTTGAATTAGTAACTTTTTATTTGTACAGGAAAACATACAAAGCCAATGCGAGTTAGGCCTTCAGTATCTTTTGTATGCCGTAGGACTTAGACGTGTACACATTGTATGGTACCACTTTTTACACTCATCTCATTGCATTCCTTTCTCAACGGGAAACAAGCAGTTTGGTTTTCCACATTTATGAGTCTTACTAACCATTGTAATTTGGTTAAAAAGATTTAAAACACAATATGATCACAATGTGAACACGAGTGTCAGTCAATCAGCAAAAAAAGTACGAAAGGAAAAAGTTTAGTAGAAGTTTCGAAACTTACCAAAGTACTTTTAGTTAAAGTAAACTGAGAATGCTTTTTGGTGCAACACACACACAAAGCAAGGATAATCACAACAAGTACAAAAATGACTGCTCTTTTTAAGATGCCGCTCAACTTTCAGGAGGGAATTAAAGAAAATTATACGTTTTATAATTAATAACGTTTTACTGTTCTCTAAATGCAGATCTCTAAAGGTCAAATAATTCACTAAATCAATCTACCAGATTTTGGGATTTGAAGAGCTCAATCCAAACTCCTCAAGGTTGAGATGCTTGTTTGCTAGATTTTCGTTTCCTAGGCAGAGAACTTGATTAGTTAATTTCTTCTACTAGATTAATACACAACTTTGTTTTTAAAAAAACAAATGCACCAGACTTATTACTTTTACACTTCATTGATCGAGTCGTTTAACTACACAAGTTAATAAGGCTCTATAAAGTTGACTTTAAAATTTACGTAAATATTCTTCCTGGGAAAAAACTCGAATGCATAGATATGTAATTTACTATTTTTAGATCTTTTAGGACCATCATAGTGTATCAAAAGATGTAAATTATGCTTCTCAATGCATAGCTGTTTTTAGCACAGTATTTTTCCAAATTCTCATAGCTTGATAGCAGTCCTTGTCTTTTACCAGTTGTGTTTATTTTATTACAGTTTATGTCACCACTTTTGCTTCTCTGATTCGTGTAACTAGACATTCCACCTCAAGTAAGCACAACAAGTTGCCAACTTTTTGATGTTTCGCGCTAATTTGGACGAACTTTGTGAAAACTTCGCGATAAAAAATCCCGGACATATGTAGATTAAGAGAGAATAAAAATTGTTGTGATGGTCATCTTCACTCAATTTTGTTAGAATTATTAGGCCCAGTGAGAATCCTTTTTTAACGCGTCTCGCATATCCGATTTTTTGGGTCCCAAAATGAAAACCACTTGAAGGTTTGGTGTGTACGTCAAAAGTCTTAGGTTCTGAAGACATCAAGAAGTGCCATTCTCTTAAAAACGACATATCTATCAGGGGACATGTTTTATTCATTGTTATCACTAAGACAAAATGCGCTCATTCTATGTACCTAATTAAATAAATAGTTGTCTTAATCTGTTTTTATATTTAAAATATTTTTCCTTGTTTTTAGCCTTAATGTCATTAAAATCCTAGTTGTAGTGACAGTAATTGCTCTCGGTGCTCACTTAATTATATTTGTTTCATATGCCTCATCATTATATTAAGGTTAGTTGTTTTGTTAACCCTTCAATTTATGATTAAAGGTTAAATCATCTTCGTGTGTTAATGATGAAAATGGAAATGAAAATTTAAAGTTAAAGGAACTTCAGTCATCAATATATAACATTGAAGTGGATGATGTACTATCCAAATTTTCAAAACACATAATATTACTTCCACAATCGGATCATGTACGTGTCTTGCAAACAGTTATAAGGAATAAGTATGTTCTCTAACTAATAATTTTGATATACTTTTGTAGAGATACTCCAAGGAACGAATTCTTATTCAATGCAGATTGTCTAGTATGTTTGTTCACCACTTTTACTGTTTACTATTTCTTTCAGATACGTTTAGTAGTTGAAGAAGGCTTAAATCAACTTCCCTATGAAAACGTGTGCGTTACGACCCCCACAGGTAAATTTGTTCATCATACGTACACGTTTGTATTTATATTGAACTATCAGTTCAGTGGTATCATCTCGAACTATGAATCTGAATAATTCCTGTTCAAATCTCGTACGGAGTGCACTGAAAAATTTTGATACTCCTTGCTGTAGAGTGCTAAATAGCACTAAATCTGGGTTCAACGACCTACAATCACTTCTTATATAGACACTTTATGTATGCTTGTGATATAACTATTAACGAAACTAATTACTATCAATTTAATGGTAATCAACTTACACTAAACCGCTCTTTAACAGAAGTAAGCGTATTATTCTAAGTTAGCATAGTTTATAACTACTTTCAATCAGGTAGGTCTAAGCAGTTATATCATGATCTTACACAAAAAGGGTATATGCCTCAAGGCCCAGATATATAAACCTCTGCTCATCAAGTTAAGTTACGTCGTTATTGTGAATCGAAAAGTTTGACGAAGATTTGAGCTTCTCACGTCACTTAATACTGTCTAATACTATCGTTTGTTTGTCTCTTCATTTACACAGGACATTCATATCAAGGTATAAGTTTTCTTCGTGGAAATTGTGGAGTATCTGTTATGCGATCTGGTGAAGCGATGGAACGTGGCCTAAGAGATTGTTGTAGATCTATGCGTATCGGAAAGATATTGATACAAAAAGCCAAAGAAAACGATGTTGATGCTAAAGTATATTATGCTAAATTTCCACCGAATATTGAAAATAGAAAGGTTCTATTAATGTATCCTATTTTAGGTATGTTTTTCTCTGTTTATTCACATTTCTCACGATTTATTTTAATAATAATCAGAAAACTATTCAAAGTCACACTGTACGGGAAAATTGCTCAGTTGTTTTATCCCAAGATCTTTCGACAATACTTGATTTATAATGTAAGATTGTGAACCTCAAAATTTTTGATCTCGACATTTATGGCTTCCAGTACTTCTCATATTCTATCATTGTGTCCCCATTACCTAACCATAGAAGTTGATACTTTGTACTTTAATTTTAAAGAATGGTTTAGTTGTTATAGCGCTTAACCTAAAATGACTGAGTTATATATATATGACTCTCCTCATTTATTTTGATCTGGATACCCTGTCAGTGTATTAATATTCCGTAAGCAAAAACAAAGTCCGAAATCCAGCACATAAATCTATGTAGAGGTGTGTTTTGCTGGTTAAAACATTCTGCTCTTAAGCGAAATCTTAACACTAAGTTACACTTCATACTTCTTAAAGAAGTAAGCTATCAGAATATCTATTTTACAAGTGATCGATACCTTGTTGTATCGATAAACAAAATTTATTTTCTGAAGAAGTGACTTACACTAAGTAACAAAACGTCAAAAATCCAATTTTCTACTCATTGGGGTATTACAAATATATTATTTTTATTTATAAAAATTAAATTGGTTGTTGTCCACAGTTGTATTAGCTTCATAGTCAAACGATTCAATTTAAAGAATACAATATACTTTCGAAATCTTCCTTAACCCATAAATATTCTTCATCATTGTCCAGAAAAAAATGAAATCCAATGGTCAAATAAGATCACAGGATAAAGAGATATTTCCTCCACTGCGAAACATTTGGTTGATATCAAGTCACCATTTGTAGTGTTATACAAAAGCCTTCAAAGGCGTATACTATGGTTTATTGAAGCTTTGGTTATACGGAAACTGAAACTCCCTTTATGTGTTTTAAAACTATTTGTTCTTAGCTTTAACTTACCCTGGTAATACTTATTTATTATCCAGAGTGGTTTTTTATACTTTATTTATTGTCCCAAGACAACTTTTACTTAACAAGTTAATCAGCGTCAACACTGACAGCTGGATAACCAACTGGCTATGTTCTTACCTCTCTGAAAGAGAACAGTACATTGTGTTTGGAGGAAAGTGTTCAACGTCTCTACTGTCTTATGAAAGTGTGCCACCACTTATTTTCTCTTTTTTCTACATGATCTGCCATCTTCCACAAAAAGCACTTGTGAAATATGCGAACGATCTTACTGTGTGTATGCCGATTTCTACCTCTTTACATTCCGTAAAAATGAATGAGTTTTTGTCTCGTATTGATTGTTGGTCTGTTGTTAATGGTCTCATACTTAATCCGTCTAAATGTCAAGCTGTTAGCTTTAGATTGAGACGTGAATAGTACCTAAGCACCATGTTGAGATCCCAAAATGCTTGTGCCTTGGAAACTCTTTGATAAACATATTGTCGAAGATCAATTATCTTGGTACTATCTTTTCCTCTGATCTCTTTTGGTCTTCTCATATTTTACTGCTTTCGAAGTTTTCTATCTGACTTGCTACATAAAGAGGCTGAATGCTTTCGGGTTTACTCGACATTTACTCCTACAGTTTGTCAATTCTTTCATGTTACCTATTATTCCTTCCCGGGTTTTTGAGGAAAGACTGCTGTATTGCGGAGAGTGCTGAAGGCAGTTAGCAGAGTGTGTGGTGAATCTTTTGAGGTCATTATTAATATGGTTGTGGATAGACATCTGAAGTCTTGCAAACTCTTGGCAGGTGTTATCTTATCAGATACTAATCATCCCCTTCATTCATATCTTTCTCCTTTTATATCTTCTGGTAGAACGAGACGTCAATACATTAAAATGCATGCACGCAAGCGAAGGTTTAAGAGTTCTATAATACCTTACCTAGCAAATATACTCTGTAACGAATAGGTTGTTAAAGTTCACATAGTCAATAACCGGTATTCTTAAACATGTCTCTAGTTGAAAAAAATGTACAGAATCAGATCTTTTTTCACCTTTCTCTTTTCTTTTTTGTGTAAAAGAAACATGTTGAAATACCTCGTGCTGAGAATTTTATATTGTACCAAAATATAATATTGAACAGAGCTATTCATAATAATAATAATTTTTCTTTGTTACGGCTTACCTTTAATCTGATAATTACCATGTGCTCACTAGCGACTAGCTTCGTGAGCGAATTCTCGGAGTTCTAATGAGAAGCTGTGACCAATGGAGCTAATCCATGTCAGGTAGAGGCAGATATCTACCTCAGTACAATGGAAGATGGTCGCGCGATTTCGTGGATTGGTTGATGTTAGACACTGTCACGATTGGATGCCGGCTCAGTGGTCCAGTAGTTTTTGCGTTCGCGCTCGAGACCGAAGGCCCTGTGTTCGAATCCCGCGAGCGGGATCATGGATGTGCACTGCTGAGAAGTCCGATACTAGGACGAAACGGTCGTTTAGTACTTCCAGGTTTTCAGTGGTGGTCTAACATCAATCGATTCATGATCTCAATCAGAAAATTTTATCTACCTAGTTGACCTTTTGTTTTTTATATATAAATGTTTTTAACAAGTATATTATGTGTGATCAAATTGTTTGAAATGTATTGCACAAATATATCAAGTGATTCTGATAACTTTCGTCTTTTCATTGGATTATTGAAATTTAGTTAGTAGTCACCTACAACGTAGGATCAGCCATCTGTATGCATCGGTCCAAGTTGCCATACCTCATTAGCACAACAAGATGAACACCAAATTCATAGACCAAGTTACTTCAATGGGAGTAATATATGAAAGAACGATTGCATATAACGATATAACACAGAAAGAAAGGGATTAATTGTTTTAGATATTCCAAATAATGTTAAAACCTTGGAAACAACTGAGTTTATTTTTCTTCTATTCTCCTATTCTATTTTATGGTAATCGTTTAGGTACTGGAATAACTGTTTTGAAAGCTCTGGATGTTTTAAGAACTTATAATGTTCCTATAGAAAATGTAATATTGCTTACTTTATTTGTATCACCACAAAGTAAGTTGTAATATAAAAAAAGTTGTTCTTTTCTTTTATTTAACGATAGATTCTTTGTTCCCTGAACGATTCTATATTTCTTTAATATAAAGTCGTTTTGACATGATTTGTTTATTCAATTATGAATTCATCTTGAATCCATTCTCCTCAAACCTGGCCTACCTCTCAGATCAATTCTTGATATGTGGAGATCCTCTTACCATTCTATAGCAAAGTGGCTGGCAAATCTAGAATTCGTTAGAAAACGTATTTGTATGATGAACTCTCCTATTAGCCACAGGTTTCGAACTGCTCTTCATATACTTCGCTTTCATTAAGACAGATGGTATTACTTAGCTTACTTACACAAAATACAACTCAAAACTAAGTAAGTAAACTAGTACTTTGTAAATGAGTTATAGTATACTTAATAGTGTATTGCTCATATTAGTTATTTACATCGAGATTTCGAATACTTCTAATAAAAGTTTGTAGTATTGACTAGGATACTTTTGGAATGAAAACAAACCCATTCATTAACAAAATCAGGTATAACACAAAGTTTATGAACTATGAAAACGTATATTGAAGCAAGATCCCATTCATTCATTATCACTAGTATTGACTGTTAGTATTTATCTACTATATATACTATGTGCCCCCAAATGCCCTGGTACGGCCGAGAGTGGGGAGAGTCCGCTCTACCTCTCCAAATGCTCTCACATGGCCACGCGTATATAGCCTCTGCCAGGGAAGTCCTACTCATTGCCTTCTCGTGGCGGTGGTGTTGTTCACGAAAATGAGAGGACGAAAAGCGAATGTCCGGCGCTTTAACCGGATTTCAAACTAATGGTGCACATGGGCTCCAGTATCCTGAAGGAACAAATGTAGTATGAACCAATTGATGGTCACCGGCTTCCATGGGACTGCATCTCCTAACGTTGCTCCACTGCCTTGTGGATCAGGCCGAAGGCTCTGGGTGTGGCCCTCTAAGAAAACCACCTGCTTCGGTTTGGGCACCCGGGCAGTATCACAGCCCTCACACATATCGAATGAGATTTGTGTGGGGCATATGTATTTGGTGCCTCCTTATACCAATATCTATGTGTTAAAATAATAATGTGGACATAAAAATATGTTTATTTTACCAAAGACAGTGCATTGTAAAATGTACTTAAAGTTTGGTACATATTCAGTTCTAATGATAAGGGGATGTAATGAAAAATAGTTTACTTTAAACATTCTGTTATATTCTTATGCCCTGTTAATTATCACGTGCCAAAAATTGCTAATTGGAACACCAACTTGTATGACATTGGCATTATGCCAAATCAATGACGTATTAACCAGTACGAGAAGCCTAGAGTCATATGACATCATGCAAACTTAGATACAATCTGTACCTGACGCATTTTGGGTCGCGGTTGGTGACGGATTAGTGCTGGGTCATCTGGCTGGGTGGATATTGGCTGTGTAGTGTAGGGAGGTTTACGGGGGTTCATTGGGGGGGGTTGACTACTGTGATCGTGGTGGCTCAGTGGTGTGTTGGGGGCTGTTATGGCCACGTGCGGGGCGCGGTTGTCGGTGGGAGGGCGGGTTTATGCGGTGCGGCGCTGTGTATTGGGGTCCTGGGTTATGTGAGGTGTGAATGGTGGTCATTGTTGGTTGGTGGGGAGTGCACTATGGTGTAGTCGTAGTAGTAGTAGTAGTAGTAGTCGTAGTAGTAGTAGTAGTAGTAGTAGTAGTAGTAGTAGTAGTAGTAGTAGTAGTAGTAGTAGTCGTAGTAGTAGTAGTAGTAGTAGTAGTCGTAGTAGTAGTAGTAGTAGTAGTAGTAGTCGTAGTAGTAGTAGTAGTCGTAGTAGTAGTAGTAGTAGTAGTAGTAGTAGTAGTAGTAGTAGTAGTAGTAGTAGTAGTAGTAGTAGTAGTAGTAGTAGTAGTAGTAGTAGTAGTAGTAGTAGTAGTAGTAGTAGTAGTAGTAGTAGTAGTAGTAGTAGTAGTAGTAGTAGTAGTAGTAGTAGTAGTAGTAGTAGTAGTAGTAGTAGTAGTAGTAGTAGTAGTAGTAGTAGTAGTAGTAGTAGTAGTAGTAGTAGTAGTAGTAGTAGTAGTAGTAGTAGTAGTAGTAGTAGTAGTAGTAGTAGTAGTAGTAGTAGTAGTAGTAGTAGTAGTAGTAGTAGTAGTAGTAGTAGTAGTAGTAGTAGTAGTAGTAGTAGTAGTAGTAGTAGTAGTAGTAGTAGTAGTAGTAGTAGTAGTAGTAGTAGTAGTAGTAGTAGTAGTAGTAGTAGTAGTAGTAGTAGTAGTAGTAGTAGTAGTAGTAGTAGTAGTAGTAGTAGTAGTAGTAGTAGTAGTAGTAGTAGTAGTAGTAGTAGTAGTAGTAGTAGTAGTAGTAGTAGTAGTAGTAGTAGTAGTAGTAGTAGTAGTAGTAGTAGTAGTAGTAGTAGTAGTAGTAGTAGTAGTAGTAGTAGTAGTAGTAGTAGTAGTAGTAGTAGTAGTAGTAGTAGTAGTAGTAGTAGTAGTAGTAGTAGTAGTAGTAGTAGTAGTAGTAGTAGTAGTAGTAGTAGTAGTAGTAGTAGTAGTAGTAGTAGTAGTAGTAGTAGTAGTAGTAGTAGTAGTAGTAGTAGTAGTAGTAGTAGTAGTAGTAGTAGTAGTAGTAGTAGTAGTAGTAGTAGTAGTAGTAGTAGTAGTAGTAGTAGTAGTAGTAGTAGTAGTAGTAGTAGTAGTAGTAGTAGTAGTAGTAGTAGTAGTAGTAGTAGTAGTAGTAGTAGTAGTAGTAGTAGTAGTAGTAGTAGTAGTAGTAGTAGTAGTAGTAGTAGTAGTAGTAGTAGTAGTAGTAGTAGTAGTAGTAGTAGTAGTAGTAGTAGTAGTAGTAGTAGTAGTAGTAGTAGTAGTAGTAGTAGTAGTAGTAGTAGTAGTAGTAGTAGTAGTAGTAGTAGTAGTAGTAGTAGTAGTAGTAGTAGTAGTAGTAGTAGTAGTAGTAGTAGTAGTAGTAGTAGTAGTAGTAGTAGTAGTAGTAGTAGTAGTAGTAGTAGTAGTAGTAGTAGTAGTAGTAGTAGTAGTAGTAGTAGTAGTAGTAGTAGTAGTAGTAGTAGTAGTAGTAGTAGTAGTAGTAGTAGTAGTAGTAGTAGTAGTAGTAGTAGTAGTAGTAGTAGTAGTAGTAGTAGTAGTGTAGTAGTAGTAGTAGTAGTAGTAGTAGTAGTAGTAGTAGTAGTAGTAGTAGTAGTAGTAGTAGTAGTAGTAGTAGTAGTAGTAGTAGTAGTAGTAGTAGTAGTAGTAGTAGTAGTAGTAGTAGTAGTAGTAGTAGTAGTAGTAGTAGTAGTAGTAGTAGTAGTAGTAGTAGTAGTAGTAGTAGTAGTAGTAGTAGTAGTAGTAGTAGTAGTAGTAGTAGTAGTAGTAGTAGTAGTAGTAGTAGTAGTAGTAGTAGTAGTAGTAGTAGTAGTAGTAGTAGTAGTAGTAGTAGTAGTAGTAGTAGTAGTAGTAGTAGTAGTAGTAGTAGTAGTAGTAGTAGTAGTAGTAGTAGTAGTAGTAGTAGTAGTAGTAGTAGTAGTAGTAGTAGTAGTAGTAGTAGTAGTAGTAGTAGTAGTAGTAGTAGTAGTAGTAGTAGTAGTAGTAGTAGTAGTAGTAGTAGTAGTAGTAGTAGTAGTAGTAGTAGTAGTAGTAGTAGTAGTAGTAGTAGTAGTAGTAGTAGTAGTAGTAGTAGTAGTAGTAGTAGTAGTAGTAGTAGTAGTAGTAGTAGTAGTAGTAGTAGTAGTAGTAGTAGTAGTAGTAGTAGTAGTAGTAGTAGTAGTAGTAGTAGTAGTAGTAGTAGTAGTAGTAGTAGTAGTAGTAGTAGTAGTAGTAGTAGTAGTAGTAGTAGTAGTAGTAGTAGTAGTAGTAGTAGTAGTAGTAGTAGTAGTAGTAGTAGTAGTAGTAGTAGTAGTAGTAGTAGTAGTAGTAGTAGTAGTAGTAGTAGTAGTAGTAGTAGTAGTAGTAGTAGTAGTAGTAGTAGTAGTAGTAGTAGTAGTAGTAGTAGTAGTAGTAGTAGTAGTAGTAGTAGTAGTAGTAGTAGTAGTAGTAGTAGTAGTAGTAGTAGTAGTAGTAGTAGTAGTAGTAGTAGTAGTAGTAGTAGTAGTAGTAGTAGTAGTAGTAGTAGTAGTAGTAGTAGTAGTAGTAGTAGTAGTAGTAGTAGTAGTAGTAGTAGTAGTAGTAGTAGTAGTAGTAGTAGTAGTAGTAGTAGTAGTAGTAGTAGTAGTAGTAGTAGTAGTAGTAGTAGTAGTAGTAGTAGTAGTAGTAGTAGTAGTAGTAGTAGTAGTAGTAGTAGTAGTAGTAGTAGTAGTAGTAGTAGTAGTAGTAGTAGTAGTAGTAGTAGTAGTAGTAGTAGTAGTAGTAGTAGTAGTAGTAGTAGTAGTAGTAGTAGTAGTAGTAGTAGTAGTAGTAGTAGTAGTAGTAGTAGTAGTAGTAGTAGTAGTAGTAGTAGTAGTAGTAGTAGTAGTAGTAGTAGTAGTAGTAGTAGTAGTAGTAGTAGTAGTAGTAGTAGTAGTAGTAGTAGTAGTAGTAGTAGTAGTAGTAGTAGTAGTAGTAGTAGTAGTAGTAGTAGTAGTAGTAGTAGTAGTAGTAGTAGTAGTAGTAGTAGTAGTAGTAGTAGTAGTAGTAGTAGTAGTAGTAGTAGTAGTAGTAGTAGTAGTAGTAGTAGTAGTAGTAGTAGTAGTAGTAGTAGTAGTAGTAGTAGTAGTAGTAGTAGTAGTAGTAGTAGTAGTAGTAGTAGTAGTAGTAGTAGTAGTAGTAGTAGTAGTAGTAGTAGTAGTAGTAGTAGTAGTAGTAGTAGTAGTAGTAGTACTACTACTACTACTACTACTACTACTACTACTACTACTACTACTACTACTACTACTACTACTACTACTACTACTACTAATACTACTACTACTACTACTACTACTACTACTACTACTACTACTACTACTACTACTACTACTACTACTACTACTACTACTACTACTACTACTACTACTACTACTACTACTACTACTACTACTACTACTACTACTACTACTACTACTACTACTACTACTACTACTACTACTACTACTACTACTACTACTACTACTACTACTACTACTACTACTACTACTACTACTACTACTACTACTACTACTACTACTACTACTACTACTACTACTACTACTACTACTACTACTACTACTACTACTACTACTACTACTACTACTACTACTACTACTACTACTACTACTACTACTACTACTACTACTACTACTACTACTACTACTACTACTACTACTACTACTACTACTACTACTACTACTACTACTACTACTACTACTACTACTACTACTACTACTACTACTACTACTACTACTACTACTACTACTACTACTACTACTACTACTACTACTACTACTACTACTACTACTACTACTACTACTACTACTACTACTACTACTACTACTACTACTACTACTACTACTACTACTACTACTACTACTACTACTACTACTACTACTACTACTACTACTACTACTACTACTACTACTACTACTACTACTACTACTACTACTACTACTACTACTACTACTACTACTACTACTACTACTACTACTACTACTACTACTACTACTACTACTACTACTACTACTACTACTACTACTACTACTACTACTACTACTACTACTACTACTACTACTACTACTACTACTACTACTACTACTACTACTACTACTACTACTACTACTACTACTACTACTACTACTACTACTACTACTACTACTACTACTACTACTACTACTACTACTACTACTACTACTACTACTACTACTACTACTACTACTACTACTACTACTACTACTACTACTACTACTACTACTACTACTACTACTACTACTACTACTACTACTACTACTACTACTACTACTACTACTACTACTACTACTACTACTACTACTACTACTACTACTACTACTACTACTACTACTACTACTACTACTACTACTACTACTACTACTACTACTACTACTACTACTACTACTACTACTACTACTACTACTACTACTACTACTACTACTACTACTACTACTACTACTACTACTACTACTACTACTACTACTACTACTACTACTACTACTACTACTACTACTACTACTACTACTACTACTACTACTACTACTACTACTACTACTACTACTACTACTACTACTACTACTACTACTACTACTACTACTACTACTACTACTACTACTACTACTACTACTACTACTACTACTACTACTACTACTACTACTACTACTACTACTACTACTACTACTACTACTACTACTACTACTACTACTACTACTACTACTACTACTACTACTACTACTACTACTACTACTACTACTACTACTACTACTACTACTACTACTACTACTACTACTACTACTACTACTACTACTACTACTACTACTACTACTACTACTACTACTACTACTACTACTACTACTACTACTACTACTACTACTACTACTACTACTACTACTACTACTACTACTACTACTACTACTACTACTACTACTACTACTACTACTACTACTACTACTACTACTACTACTACTACTACTACTACTACTACTACTACTACTACTACTACTACTACTACTACTACTACTACTACTACTACTACTACTACTACTACTACTACTACTACTACTACTACTACTACTACTACTACTACTACTACTACTACTACTACTACTACTACTACTACTACTACTACTACTACTACTACTACTACTACTACTACTACTACTACTACTACTACTACTACTACTACTACTACTACTACTACTACTACTACTACTACTACTACTACTACTACTACTACTACTACTACTACTACTACTACTACTACTACTACTACTACTACTACTACTACTACTACTACTACTACTACTACTACTACTACTACTACTACTACTACTACTACTACTACTACTACTACTACTACTACTACTACTACTACTACTACTACTACTACTACTACTACTACTACTACTACTACTACTACTACTACTACTACTACTACTACTACTACTACTACTACTACTACTACTACTACTACTACTACTACTACTACTACTACTACTACTACTACTACTACTACTACTACTACTACTACTACTACTACTACTACTACTACTACTACTACTACTACTACTACTACTACTACTACTACTACTACTACTACTACTACTACTACTACTACTACTACTACTACTACTACTACTTCTACTACTACTACTACTACTACTACTACTACTACTACTACTACTACTACTACTACTACTACTACTACTACTACTACTACTACTACTACTACTACTACTACTACTACTACTACTACTACTACTACTACTACTACTACTACTACTACTACTACTACTACTACTACTACTACTACTACTACTACTACTACTACTACTACTACTACTACTACTACTACTACTACTACTACTACTACTACTACTACTACTACTACTACTACTACTACTACTACTACTACTACTACTACTACTACTACTACTACTACTACTACTACTACTACTACTACTACTACTACTACTACTACTACTACTACTACTACTACTACTACTACTACTACTACTACTACTACTACTACTACTACTACTACTACTACTACTACTACTACTACTACTACTACTACTACTACTACTACTACTACTACTACTACTACTACTACTACTACTACTACTACTACTACTACTACTACTACTACTACTACTACTACTACTACTACTACTACTACTACTACTATGAGATGATAATACGATCAGTGGCCAAGGTCTATGCTAACACTAGACTAGACACTTAATCATTACATTGTACACAGACTAGATCACATTATAACAGATACATTATTCACAACTAAATATAAAGAACTAAAATAAAGTATTGTTAGGGTTTTTTTTAAACAATTTCAGTCAGTCTACACTCAATGCGTTCAGAGTAGAACTACAGAAAATGAAATCACATATCGAATACTAAATAAGATGTGTATCTGTCTGCCGACGTTTCACTTACCAATCATATTCTACTTCTACTAGCACACTTATTTATTTATTTAAACAAAAAAAAACAGTGGTACGAGGAGGTACCAAATAAATATTCGTCACATGAATCATCCGATTTGTGTGAGGGCTATGATACTGCTCGGGTGTCCAAACCGAAGCAGGTGGTTTTCTTAGGAGGCCACACCCAGAGCCTTTGACCCAAAGGTCTGATCCACAAGGCAATGGAACAACGTCAGAACATGAAGTCACATGGTAGCCAGTGACCAACGATTGGTTCATAAGCCATCTGTTCCCTTAGGATCCTGAATCCCATGTGAACCATTGGTTTGGAATCAATGTTTTCCAACTCCGCTATGTGGACTCTTCGTGTCTACCAACGCGATTAAAGCGTCAAACATTTGCTTTTGATGCTCTCAATGTCGTAAACAACAGCCGTGGTGCGAGAAGTCATTGAGTAGGACTTCCTTGGCTGTGATTGTATGCACATGTCCATATGGGAGTATTTCGAGAGTGAGAGCTAACTCTCCCCACTCTCAACCGTACCAAGGTATTTAGGGGCACATTAATAATCTCTATTCACTTATATACATTATTCTTGTTTAAAGTTCTCAGTTATCATTTATGTCAACGAGTTCATTTATTCATTATTATTATTATTGTTCCATAGGTCTTATCAATGTTCTAACACGTAATCCAGCATTAAGAATTGTTACGTCAGAAATTCATCCAGTTGTACCAAGTCATTTTGGTCAACGTTATTTTGGTACTTTTTAATTTAAATTATGATATATTGTATTTTTTCTTTCTCTTTTCTTTCATTGCATTACTGTCCAATCCTTTTATCATATCAGGTTATATAACAACATGATATGCTTTACTTCAATCTAAACACCCCCCCCCAGAGTAATATCACAACTAAAACACATAAATCAAATCACTTATGTAACATATATTGTATTCTGTGCCACCCACGCACACACACACACCTCCTCCTTCTTTGTATCAATATGGATATATATTCAATGTCATAGTGATTATTGAATTGTTCTTTTTTTTATTATGCTCTATTTCACAATGAGATCTTTTCTTTGTATACAATGCATGTAATGCCCTAAGTATTATTATCTCTTAGTTATCATATTGAAACAACAAGGTAAATGAACCAAAAAAGAGTATATTTTGAAATTTATAGGAAATTGTAAGTTTTAAAGAAATAAAAACAATCTCTATAAAACCCCCACCTTCTGATAATGATCATCATGTGCTCATTAGTAACTGACGTCTTAAGATAGATTTCGTGGAGTTTCAGTTAGAAGCTGTGACCAATGTAGACAATGGTGAACGGTGGCGCAATATCGTTGGTTAAAGTTAGACATTAACACTGTTGAATGCCGGCTGACTCACTGGTCTAGAGGTTAAGCGTTCGCACGCTTGACTAAGAGTCTTTGGTTGGAATTTAACGAGCAGGATCGTGAATGCCTACTGCTGAGGAGTCCCACAATAGGACGAAACAGTCGTTCGGTGATTCCAGGTTTTCCATAGTGGTCTAGCTCTAATCGACTCACGAATTGAACTACTAGAAAACAATCATTACAAACAGAGCTGTTAACCATTGTCTTCATGACAAATAATTTACGGTAGAATCATGTATCTGAAGTCTAATTACACATTCAAATGTTGGAGATAATCATAGATTGTTCGTATTTGATCATAAATACTATTGAAACATTGCTTGTTTATGATTGAACCATTCACTTAAAGTAGAAATACTATCATTTGATCACGAGATTTCAATCTTCATTCATTGAATTAATTGTAGCATGCATCACATATAGTTATTAACTTCCCACTATGATGTACTTTGTTAGCCAGTATAGGATTAATAGTCGATGTAAAGTGGCTAAATACTATACTGAACAATGTTTGTAAGTGATAAACTTCTGGATGTATACCTTGAAGTATTCATTAGATTATTCTCAATCTACAATTTAGTATTACCCCATACTTTCCAATTATATCCTTGTGGCTAGCTTGGAATCCGTTTCCTTTTCCATGTCTTTTATTGTGGCAACCTGAATATACGTATATTGATAGTGTAGTTCTTTAATTTCAGAGAGAAAAAAACTCCATCCAAATCATTCAGCTGAGCTACAAATCTCCATGTATAAATCGTTCTAGACTCTGTATTGTTTATAAGTAATCTGATGGGATCATCAGTTGTTTCTCTCTGAATTACTAAGTGGTTTTACCTTCTAGATCAAGAAACTTTTCTGTCAGTGAGTAGTACTTTTATGCTATAGAATGAGTAAGTTTTGTAGTTCAATCCACAGGATTGTACTTGGCTTCAATTTTAATCTTCGTAGATCAGAATGATGATTTTCTCGTGAAGTGAACTGGTTTGGGTTAGGATTGTTATATTTAAGAGTTTTAGGGTTTGAAGGTTAAAAGTTGTAGGATTTTGCTTCCATACAAAACTATGATATCTAGTCTAAATAGTTGATATCTTCGACTGATTAATTCCTAGTTCATCCTTAAAATTGCTTAAGGTCTTCCGTACAGTATGAATTACGACTATTGTATACTTTCAAAGACCATGTTTAACAGCCATGAAGTGAGAGGGAGTGAATGGCTACCCAGTATCGTCTTTCCGTGGTTGAGTATTGTATGAACTTTTATTGTTGTCTATCCAATTACATTAAACAACAATGTGTTATATGGCCCTCAAATGCCCTGGTACGGCTGAGAATGGGGAGAGTCAACTCTCCTCGAAATGCTCTCACATGGCCACGTGCATACAACCCCTGCCAGGAAAGTCCTACTCACTGCGTTCTTGCATCACGAATGTTGTTTACGACATTGAGAGCATCAAAAGCAAATGTCTGGCGCTTTGATCACGTTGGTAGACACGAAGAGTTCATTTAGGGGAGTTGGAAAACATTGATTTCAAACCAATGGTTCACATGGGATTCAGGATCCTGAGGGAACAGATGGCTTATGAACCAATTGCTGGTCACTGGCTACCATGTGACTGCATCTCCTAACGTTGCTCCACTGCCTTGTGGATCACACCTTTGGGTGTGACCCCATAAGAAAACCACCTGCTTCGGTTTAAATAAATAATACTCTGTTATATCCCGATGAGAATAATGAATGGTGGTAATTGTTGAGATCTATTTCTGGACTAACACTATACATATATTTTTATTGTATAATTGTTAAGTAACTAAACCATACACATTCATGTTCCTTCTATTATTTCGACCCATAGACTATGATCATACGATTTACTGTTCTTGCGATATTTCCAATTTATTAGTAACAACTTCTTACTTTTAGCTAGAAATTGTACAAATGTTCTTTTCTATTTTATGGTGCAATGATGGTTTGTTCAGTTTGTATATAAACTCAATATGTTTAAAATTCATATCGTGAAGGTTGAGATTTGTGTTCCAAACTCAACATTCAGACAGGGCTACGTAGGAGGCAGGACCGATAAGAACTTTAGACTACTCGTACAAGTCTAAACATCATTGATCCGGTCAATAAATCACTATTCTTTAATTGCCAATATCATCATTACGTCAAATATCGATAGAGAGACAAGTTATAGCATACATTGTAAACTTTGCGGTAAGACTATAATTTATGGACGACCTTTGAGCGACGCTGAAGTGACCTTGAGAGTGAACAACATCTAATTAGAACTAAATGAGGGTTATAAAGTAGTTAGAATTCCCATTTACAGTTGATGGTTAGGATTAAAAATTAGATTTAGGATTTTCATCACGATCTGACATCAACTCTATAATGCCAAAACTCTATTTAGCCAAATGTATGGATGAATTCCGCGCCCAAATTCGTGACTCGTTATCTTATATCGGATTGGTTCGTCCATAAATTATAGTCTGGCCGACTTTATCAACTCTAACACAGATATTTCACTGGTTGAAATCATTAATCAATTGAAGCTAGACCATCATGGAAAACATGGAAGCACTGGACGGCCGTTTCTTCCTAGTATGAGACTCCTCAGCAGTGAGCATACACAGATAGTTATAACACAGTTCTTGATCAAAAAGAAAACAATAATATCATACAAATATTTAGTTGAAAATGCTTCATTCATTGAAAAAGATTCAATGATCTTTACAATAAGAAAAGATACTTTTGTTTATCATAATGGATTTACAATGATTACGTAATACTATGGTTGCTATCGGTATATTCACTGAAGTCAGTACCCGTATCTAAAATGAAATAATCCAATGAATATTGATTAGTGTTATTGAATTGATTATATTGTGTAAAAGTTTATTTATGATATGTATGTTGGTCACGTAACAGAGGTGAATGAGTTATATGTCATGTTCAATGTAATTACTAACTAGTAACAGTAATCAGTATACTATTCTATTAATTCCGCCTAGAGACTCTCTTGGGATACTGCCGGTCTCAAGACCGGATAAAGGGGGAGGGTTGGGCATGAGGTTAGCGACCTTATCCCGTAGAAAACTAACTCGCTAAAAAAACAATAACCAGAAATATAATTCTATTCCATTGTTCTTGGTACTAATTGTATGCATTTAATTAAGATATAGTGTGATCACTAATTATTTGTCAAATATAGAACAGCTCATTAGTTCGGCTTTCAAAATCGTTCATCGTTTTGTTTCAACGACTTTGAATGACTTGACAAGAAACTGTTATTCCGTATTTCAACTGCTGTGGGTTTGTTAGGTACAAAATAACTACTGAAAGCATTAATTTAGCTATCTCTGTTTTGTAGTGTACACGTTGGACATTCCAGTCGACGTAAGCAAGGCGTTTCAAAGTATAATACAAAATGGGCATTACGGAAGCTGGGTTGAATTCGATAATGCACTAAAGGAATTCCAAAAAGGTATGGAAGTATAATTTTATCCCTTCTCAAACTACCTATACTGATTACATTCACATCGAAAGTAAACTGATGAAGTACATGAGATTTAAATAGTTTTTTGTGATGTTTCATAGCATATTTGGTCATAAGCGTAAATCAGAAGATCTGACAGTGAATTAAAAACCGTGAGAACTTTAACTAATATGTGACGTTTAAGTTTCTAAACTGTCAATCAACATTCCATTTAAGATTGGAAAGTGAAGAATATGTTATAAGATCATACAAGATACTTCACAATCATCTTTGTAGTAGTTCATGGATGGTTTGTGATCCATAAACTAGAAGATTGTCCTCAGAAGTTAAAGCAAATTTGAAGCTGACGATATTGCAGTCACAATCAACAGATGAATTAATAGAAAATAATAAGGATCGAACTGGTAAGCAAGTTATTGCTGCTGATGTGAAAACTATGAAAGCTCAACTCTCCACAAGTAGGTGTATAGAAGTATATTTCAGGTTGTTTTACGTGAATGATGTTCATTCACTTGGTATTGTTTTACTTGAATCTTCCCATTGATGTTTAGGACTGCAATTGATCAGTTTCTTATTGACATATGTGCATATTACTTCGATATTGCCTCAATTCACAAGCATTCTAAGCAAAGATGGATAGTTTAGATGGTGGTTGGAGGTAGTCAACAGGAAACCCTGGACCCGGGTTTCGTGCTACTTGGCACTCGTCAGCAAGGTGTACCTGTAATCTTGAGGGAACTGGTGCTCCCTGGCGGATTCGATCTAGACAAGCATGACATTGATCACCACCCAGTGATCAATCAATTGTGATTACATCTCAGTTCTACAGGAGGTTAGTCACGGCTCGGATAGCTCAGTGGTAACGTCTCTGACTGTGAAGCTGGGTGACACGAGATCGAATCCGCCAGGGAGCACCAGTTCCCTCAAGATTACAGGTACACCTTGCTGACGAGTGCCAAGTAGCACGAAACCCGGGTCCAGGGTTTCCTGTTGACTACCTCCAACCACCATCTAAATCTCAATACATAGTGCCCGCAGTGACCAGTCACCTAGACTGGTGGCCACATTGCAACATGATCGATAGCATTCGATCTGCACTAATAAGGACTAGACAAGCATGACATTGATCACCACCCAGTGATCAATCAATTGTGAAAGATGGATAGTGGCTAGCAGTGGAATACACGATTCCTAGATCCAACAAGAAACTGATCAATTGAAGTCCAGCTGACGAGTCCCATATAGGACAAA